TGGGATAAGGACGGTACCGCCATGCCCCATGCTGCTTCCCTTTGTGGCTGTTTGCAGCATGGTGCCAATGAAGATGCTGTGGATGCAGAAAATCGTAGTCCGTTGCACTGGGCAGGTGTGTGCCAGGGGACCACTGGGACACAGGGCTGCAGGGACCACAGGGCGGAAAGGGAGGGGAGGACGACGTTTGGAGAGCAGGGCAGGCCAGGGCTGACTGCTGAAATGGTTGGAGGGAATGCTGGGTCATAGTCTGACTAGGTGTCCTTCCTGCTTCTCCTTCACCCTATCACCCCTCGACCCTCCCAGCCTCCTCTGGCTGTGCTTCAAGTGTGCTCCTGCTGTGTGACCATGAAGCCTTCCTGGACGTCCAAGATAACGTGAGTGTCAGCTGGGCGGGGCCCCGCACGGGGAGGCTGTTGCTCTCTCTGAGCTTGCCTGGCTAAGCTCTGGGACCAGGGCTTGTGCACAGCCCCTTTTCCTTCTCCCCCCTGCTCCTCCTACTTTTCCTCGCAGAGAGGTTAGGCCTTATCTTCTGGAGAGCTTCGAACCTTTCAGAAAACAGGATTTAGCCCCTGCATCTGGGCTTTTTTTCTGGAGAGGTGTTGGAAGAGGGCCGTTGGTAGAATTGTCAAGCCCCTGGCTCCCCCTGGCTCCTCATGAACTCCCTTCCCACACTCCGTGCAGGACGGAAGGACACCCCTGATGATTGCTTCGCTGGGTGGTCACGCAGCTATCTGCTCACAGCTACTGCAGAGAGGTGCCCGAGTTAATGTCACGGACAAGGACGACAAGTGAGCCTTCCCATCTCCCCAGCCCACAGCCAGACACTGACCACTCTAGAAATGAGCCACTGGGCAAGTGTGTGTGTGCGTATGGGCGCGCACGTGTGTGTGTGTGTGTGTGTGTTGCAGAAGAAAGATTGGTTTCTGTTTTCTTGGGAACCTCCTTCCTTCCGAGCAGTTGTTTGGAAGAGCTGCCTGCTACTTTGCACGTTTCCTCTCCGGGAGTTGAGAAAGTTTTCCTTAGACTTTCCTATTCAGCTGCTACCACCACCATCTTCCCGGCATCGATGACTCTGGAAGTAGAATCAATACTTCTGGATCCATTAGTTCAGTTTACCGGTTTTCAAACTATCTTCTAAACAATGGAATCCTTTTTCCAATAAAGAATTTATGCAGAACCTCAATATATAAAAGATGAAAAGAGAGCCCTTCTACTTGGCCCCCGGCTTTCTGATGTTGCAGCTCCAAGGCGGGGCATTTGAAAAGTTCTGGTCTGGTCTAATGCTCTGCCGTTGGCTGGCGTGGGTCTGTGGTTCTCCTTGCCACATGGAGTGAGATCTGGCTCTGTGAGTGGGATTTCTGGAAGCAGGACTGCTGGATTTCTGGGGGGAAAGCCTATGCCCAGATTTGTCCCAACCCACAGATCGGCTCTGATCCTGGCCTGTGAGAAAGGCAGCGCGGAGGTGACCGAACTGCTCCTGAGCCACGGAGCGGATGCAGGGGCAGCGGACATCATGGGGCACGACGCTCTGCATTATGCTCTCTGCACCCAAGACGGGGCGCTGTGCCGGCTACTGCGGCAGGCTCTGAACCGGCGGGGGCAGCAGGGAGGTAAAGCCCAGTCCCTTCTGTGACTTCAAAATTCTCCTTGATAGCCTTAGGATCCAAGAAGCTTCTTAGAATGCCTTTTATTCCCATAAAAATAATCCCTCTGACGAATAATTGTCACTTTAGTTGAGAGTTTAACTTATTTATTTATTTTTTATTTATTTTATCTTTTAAGAGAGTACCTATCCTTGCGAT